GTACGTACGTACGTACGTACGTATGTACGTACGTTCGTATGTCAGCATTTTTTTCGTTTTCGATATCTCAAGAACGGATTGAGATATCGCCCTCAACCAAAATTTTTTCGAAAGATATTATCATAATGAAGATCTGAAAGAAATTTGAACGAAATCGGTCAAGCCGTTTTTTTTTTATAAAAAAAAAAACGAATTAATTACAAACAATTTAATTAAAATACGTTCTAATCTAATCACAACAATGAAGTTACGGAATCAATAATAACGAAATATCATTATTCAAGACAGGGAATAACATATTATAATAACATATTATAATAAAAATTTGTTTATAACAAAATGAATTGTTATAAACAATCGATAAACAATAAAAAATAGTATTTACCAATTGACTGATGCAAGTACTCTATCAATTCGGTTTTCTCAGACGAAATACTGTTTCTTATGGGTTTATAAAATGACGAACTCTCAAACATTGTTTGTTATTTATTATTGTGCCGCGTTTTTTTCAAACTTTAGAAACGAATGTACTTTACAATAACTGTATTATCTAATGGGAAGTTAGTCGTATTAGCACCGACCAAAATGTGCTCAGACCAATTTTTAACGAAGTGTTTAATTTAGCATTCGATGGCATTTTCATGACCATAAAACCATCTTGAAATTACTGTATCACACATACAAGACAAGCTTCTTCGTTCAATCATTATGAACCGTTTGAATAAAAATACATAAATTTTTGGTCGCAAAAACTGACGATATTAAGCCATAAAAAGGATATTACAATTAACATTGTTTATTTTACATGACTTAGTTTAATCTTATTAATCTTGGATAAAAGTTCATAATACTTGTAATAAATATAGATGGGTTTTTGAGATTTAAAGATTCTATGCTATTAATTTACGGTTGTGTGAATTAAAATGTGTTTAAAATACTGCTGCGTGTATAGTCAACCCCCCATACGTCAAGAGCCCCTAGTGGGTTGCCTAGATTTCTCAAAGTAAAAAAGAATACCACGTGTAATTATACAACACGCTACTGAAGTGAAACTGAACATACCGGGATAGGGGTTAAGGAATTGGTTTAATGGTATTACTTGTACACTATGAATTTAAATTTTACACTAAACAGGCCGGAGTTGCCTGTAACGAATGTTGCACTGAAGCGCGTTCACGGCTCAAGCGATCCCCACTACGAGCTCGACTACGTCACCGAGTAGAGGGGGGACATCCGTTGCATGATTTCGTTCCGCATGAAACGAACTTACCCTACCGCGCGTAAAGAAGTTTCACTTCAACAAAGAAAATCTGTTTTTCTACGATGTTTTTTGCTTTGTGGAAGTGTGATTTTTCTTTTCGTCTTCAGCTTCGAGTTTTTTATGATCTTCCCCTGAATTTGGATTTTCTGTGTGAAACTCTCATCCGAGATGTCCTTACCTTCGTTCAAGAGTTTAGTTCTCTCTTCTTGCTCTACAGTTGGGAATGGTAAATATCTGGCTCCGGAAACACTTCGACTTGTATGAACTGAAGCTACCACAATCCATTCTTCTGTTGCGTTTTCACCAGATCCAGTTGGTATTGGGGTCGTTTCTTCTTCAGAACGTTCTTCCAATGACCGAATTTCTTTTGCGTTGTATGATAGTGGTGTTTCATCGATTATGGTTTTGTTGATAACACTTTTGGTTGTTACGACAGAAACAACTGCAGCTCCTAGAAGAACTGGAGGAGTGTCGACGTCCGATGACTCTACTTCTTCATTTAAGCTGGATGCGGCTGTGCTTTTTGTCTCACTGGAAAGATTATTTGGATCTTCAGATAATTCTGTTTGCGGAATTTCGGACGTGTTATCAATTCCTGTGCTGTCTATGAACTCTTTAAAATTGTCATCTTTTACAAGAGACGATGGCTTCATGGTCAAAACTTCGTACGGCTTTTTGATTGTTTTATTTTGTGTGCTAGCACCTTCATCGGTGGTGTTGCTATATTCTAAACCTTGTTGTTCATGATTAGTGTAATTTAGTTCTACATGCCCTTCAGTAAGTGTAGAGTTGCCTTCTTGTTCTTCAGATGAGAGATTATTGTAAGATTCTGAACTATTATTGTTATTATGGTTTTGAGCTGGTTCTTCTTGTTCTTCTTCATCATCTTCATATTTTACAAGCGTTTCTTCATTATCGGCTGCTTTACTATTTTCGTTTTCTTCTTCGTTAAGTATTATGTCTTCACCTTCTTGCGCGATTCCTTCAGCATTACTATTTTCTGCTTTGATTTCGTTCGATGAGGATTTGTGTAGTTGTTTTTCAGTGGTAGTTGGTCGCACAAAAGTTCGTTTAAAAGTAGTTATTGGTACTTGAGTTGTGGTGGTCAATTGTCTAGGTTTCTCTGTATTCCTCTGTGCTTCGGGTTCCTCATCTATATAATCTTCATACTCAACATCTTCCGGCTCTGATGAATAAGATTCTCCACTTTCGTTGCCATTCCCATTTTGTTTACCATTGTCTGCATAATCCAAATTTTGATTAACTTCTTGATTTTCGTTGGCGATTTCATTCCTAATTTTGCCACTGTTGTTTGAAGGATTAGGCAATGCAGCGTTTTGTTGATGGTTAAATACGATGTTTTCAAAAATGGGTGGTTGTTTCCCATTGAACTCTTCCGGTAAATCGGCAGGACTTTGGATGGTAATTTCTCCCAGAAAGGTTTCGGTTTTAGACGGATCTGTATTTCTGGTTCTTTGGTAGAGATGGGAATAATTTGGATTTGGATTTCGCTTGTTGTTAATTGTAGTTTGGGCAGGGTTCAAAACATTTCTGCGACCAAGACTTTCGTCAAAGTCGTATGTCGAATCTTGCGAAAGGGCTCCGGGATTTTGACCATTCTGTTGACGATAATCGCCGAAGTATTGAGGTATGTTTTGACGAAGATTTCGAGGAACGTCTGAAGGTCGTAGATCGGTTTGGGGAAAAAATTGTCGTTGCAAATCAAATAATGGCTTTCCAAATTGAGGTTGGTTGAAATAGAGAGGTTGTTGGTAGGTTGGACCCAAACCAGTTTGCTGTCGGTACAAAAAATTTTGCCCTAAAACAAAATGAAAAAGAGAATTAAGTTAAGAAGGGTAAAACGGCCTGCATCATTATGTATTAATTTATTAAATATGTAAATTATTCTGTTTATATTTGTCTTACTTTCGAGAGGACTTTTTAAGAGTGAAATTAAACAAAAAACAAACTAATCAACTACAAATCGAGTACCAACATTGTTTGTACAGCATGAACCTTGGAACGAAGTGATAATTTTTAATTAAAGGGTACTTTTTTCGTTATTTTAGCCGAGCTTGTTAAAATTAATTGGTTGCGACTTGTAATTGGGTTTATATTCTTGTTTAAAACATGTCCATCTCTTAATTGTAAACAACTTTATTAATTAAAAGTTTACAAAAGAACTTCTATGATTAAAAGTTTGTTTTAAACTCTTCGTGTTCGCCCTTAGTTAAAATACAAAAGAATAGTCGACGATTGTATGAGTTGTTTTGCAGTAACAGCGCATGGATATTGCTGATTAGTATTTTGCCAATTGCCAGCAAATAAAATAGCAATAAATACATGACAATACAAGTTAGAGACAGCTTTAAATAAAATGGAAACGGCACTTACAGATGAACATGAAATAAAAAGAAATAAAAACATTGGAGACGGAAAACTAGATGAAGTTGTTCATTTTCGATAACTAGGAAGTCAGATAATTCAAGATGAAACATGAGTAACAAAGAGTAACAAATTCGAAAAATATTAAAAGTGTATGATTGGAGCATGGCTCTGGACGGATGTGAAGCATGGACGGGGAGTGCAGCGAAAAAGAAATCGTTAGAAAATATTGAGATGTGATGGT